TGTGTGTGTGGTTTGTGTGTAGTGTGTGTGTGTGTGATATGTGTGTGTGGTGTGTAGAGGTTAAACAGAAGAGGTGACCGCTGAATGAGAGAGCAAGCCTTGCATTTGGAGACACACAGTAGACTGTTGCTGCAGAAATGTAAAATAAGGAAGACATTTGTAGATGAGCAGAAGGAAGGGAGGGTCATGGAAGGCTTTCAGGGAGAGAGGGGGTAAAACGGATGCTTAACAAAAAAAAATCACTGAAGGGCTGAGGAGGACCAGCCCAGGTAGCTACCTTTGTGTGCCATCAGCCGCTGGTTTCCATGGCTGGCTTCTAACTCTGCCATGCAGCTCACCCCTGGCAGTGGTGGGAAAATTTCTCTGGCAGACTGTCTCAGTTCCAGGTTCCCTGGCCACATTTCTACACAACTCTCACCCCTGTCCCACTTCATTCTACTCTGTAGGTTTGCTTCTCAGTAGCCCAGGCTGCTCCTGTTACCCCTGATTAGCAGGGTGGCTGTGGCCTCGGCCCTGGTGGGAAGTTCCTTGGCACACCACAGATGCAGGTGGCGAGGCAGGGTTGGTAGGAGCCGGTCGGCCCTGTGGTACAGCTGCCCAGCCCTCTGTCCATCCGTGCATTGCCAGTGAGCTGCAGCTTCTAGTTTGTCATCTGAAAGGTGTTTGTTTTTTTTTTAAGATTTACTTACTTACTTTGTGTATGAATGTTTTGCATGCACATATGTATGGGTACTGCATGCATTCCTGGTACTGGAGAAGTACCAGAAGTACTTCTGTACCAGGGTACAGAAGAAGGTGTTGGATCCTTTGGAATTGGAGTTATGTTTCTGAGCCACAGCATGGGTACAGGGAACGAACCAGGGCCAGCTGATGCTCTAAACCACTGAGCCGTTCCTCTAGCCCCTGAGTCTTTGCAGTGTATCTAGGAGGAGCAAATTAGACAAATGCCATGGGCATGGCAATGGGCAGCGCCTCGTCCTGCTGAGGAATCGAAGCTGGTTCTTGCCTTGATTTTTTCATGCTTGTGTTTCTCAGATGTCAGATAATTCATGTGTGTATTTTGAGGTGGAAGTTTTTGGAGCATCTTTAAATGCAATCACAGTCTTACATCACGAATAAGAAATTAGGAACTTCATTATAATCTTGAGTTTGTACATTTATAAGACTATTTGGTACTTTAACTTGTTCAGTGTGAATAAATATATTTAATATATAATAAGAAACACATAACAGTTCCCTCTCTAAAGGGAATCACAGAGAGTTTATTCTGAGATAAAAGTAAGTAGCTAAGGCTAGGAATGGCGATCCTGGGTGTGTCAACTAGCCAAGGCTAGGAATGGCGATCTTGGGTGCGCTCAATGACCTGTGCTGCTATGAGCAAGGTTACGTGTACTTTTCTAGTCATGGAACAAAAGTATGGCATAGTGGTACACCCCTGTGATCCCAGAAGAAGGAGGATCAGGAGTACAAGCAGTGTCAGCTACATAGTGAGTTAAAAGCCAGTGTAGACTACATGAGACCCTGTCTCAAAAACAAGAGAAAACCAATATAAGTGATAAGCCAATGCATTTACCAGACATGTGGGTAGAAACATCAGGTGGCCAGGTCGCATCAAAGTGGGAAATCCCTGCCACCGTTTTCAAATGCTATCTCACAGCATGCTTAGCTCTGGACTTGATGCTCTGTGGACTGCTCAGAACATATTCCTGAAGGTTTATCATGTCACGGAGTTCCAATCCACAAGGAAAAGCCCACAGACTCAATTCAAGTTATAATTAAATAAATTTATGAATTATCGCTGGCCATGCAGAAGAGGCTAAAAATAGAGTTTTAAACGATGGACAACGCAGTCATCTCATTTTGTGGGCTGCACTGCCGGCTGAGAAACCACTTCATCCCCCCAGCTAGTGGGGAGCCCCCCTCTGTTTACAGAGAGACAAGTGGGTTTGCATAAGCGGGAGCTAACGACCATTTTTACAACCCTGGGGAGGAGGCAAGGAGCCAGACTTGCCAGGACCTTATCTTTTAGGGGTTTAGAATGAGTGCCTAGCTCAAAAAGAAGGAATAGTCAAAGCTGGGCCAGATACAGAGGCCGTAATGAATGGCTAGTAAGAAGACCACTGCAGCCTAAGCTCATTTTGTCTCTGAACCTGCAATATTCTGTTTTTTTATAATCGAGATGTTCTGGTTGGCCAATCGGCATGCAGAATCTTTACTACCAGTGTGACTTCTTTGGAGAACTTAAATTCATAAGTCTATTGCCAATTACATTGACTATGAAACTGTATATATAGCTTAATTTTCACACCATAACATATAAAGTAAACACACAGTCCCACCACCTGCTTTGGGAAGCACAGGTTCCCACTCTCTCTGAGAGCCTCAGACAACTAAAGGAAGATTTACTTTGTTATCTCTGAAGAGATAAAGTCAGTCATGGCGGTGAGTGCTGGTGTTCAGCCTCCTTCCTCCTTTCTCCATCTTTGTTCGGTCCAGGCCCTGAGCTCATGGGATCACATTACCCACATTCAGCATGGGCCTTCCTTCCTTGGCTAAGCCTCCATGAACTCACCCTTGCATAAATACGCAGAGCTGTATTCCCTAGGTGATCCTAATGCTAGTCAAGTTGGCAGTGAGACGTAGGCACCCTAAACACCCTAATCGCCGGGCCTCAAAACCACATGTGCATCCGACAGACTGGAGTCGCGCGTGTTAAAGTCAAAATGCAGGTCTGGAGGCCAGATCTTGAAACAGTCCTCATCATGTCTGCTGAGGGACAGGCCCCCACAGGGCGTGGCTCACAAGTCCAGTTGCTGTCGGCTGAAAACTTGCTTGTGAGCGTCCGTGCGTGGGGCTGACAGCATCAAGCCTCCAAAGCTGTTGAGTTTAGTCAGCATCAAAGCTACCGAGTAGCCCTGGGAATACTTTTTTTAAAAAAAAGATAGCTTTGTTTATTTATCTATCTATTTATTTATTTATTTATTATGTGTACAGTGTTCTATCTCATACCAGAAGAGGGCAACAGATCTCACTATAGATGGTTGTGAGCCACCATGTGGTTGTTGGGAATTGAAGTCAGGACCTCTGGAAGAGCAGTCAGTGCTCTTAACCTCTGAGCCATCTCTCCAGCCCAAGGGGAATATTTTTTTAAACATTATTACAAGTTAATAAAATGACTTGAATGTTTGTATTAAAGCATAGAGATGGATAGGTAGGGAGATAGATAGATAGATAGATAGATAGATAGATAGATAGATAGATAGA